GAAACGAAGATTTTACAAAAAAACCACAAATATTTGGAAGTACGGAAGGTCATAGTTACCTCTGCCCTCCATTGATCCTTGCCTCCCATCTTTACTCCTTTGTAAAATGTGTTAAATTTGGATGAAGGACTTTTTCTAAAGTCTCAGGAATCCACAGACTACAGACCAGGACATCTTAAATTTGGAGAAGGCACTCTACTTATGCAACTTGCAAGTGGAACATCAAAAATGTGCCTCAGATAGCATTTATAAATGGCTTTATGTATCTGTTGTTGACACACAAATCCTGTGTCTAATGATACTTAGACAACTGCCTGCCCAGTCACAGGACTGACTCCATAAGGAAGAGTGGGGGACAATTACATTTAGTAGTCTATCAGTTTAATCAACAATTTGAAAAACAGCTTTTCTTCTGTGAAGCGTATAATGACAACAAAGAAAGCCATAGTTGACACAACCACCATACGTTTGAAAGTAAATTGTTCTTGTCTTGGTGGTCAGTGATAAAATGAAAGTATTATGAGTGGATATGGTAGTCTGAGCATTTCATTATTTCAGGCCTTCATTACAGAAGCAGAGTTAAGGTCATCTGGGTACCTCAAATATAAATTTTCACACTTACAAATGCTTGGGATTCTTATAAGACAACTGTTTCCTGGGTTTCTACAAGTTTTGAAATCTAACACCTGAAAAGTAATCAACACTCAGTGTAATAATGTGTGTCTGCAAGGTTAACTTAATCTTAACGTATGCAAGTGGCAGTGCATTTCCTTGTTTGTTTGTTTTTTCAAATGGTCCTAAGATTGCCCATAGAAGAGGTCTGTTTCTACAGATGCCAGAAGGGCCACAAGACAAGAAGTCCTGATTCAGCAGACCTTAGGAAGCCCTTGGAACAAGGGTGGGCATACCCTCTTATTCTTTTCACAATAATTTCTCTGCTACCCCCACCATCCTATGGAGGGAGTCCTGATGCTGCAGACCTCCCCTGGGCCTGAAAAATTGAGTCTTACTCCTAAGAATTTTGGAGGTCCTCGGAATCATGGCACCCCTCCTGTAGGGTCAAATAGGTTCATCAAAGTGGTCTTCCCTCCTGTTAACCCACTGTACATAGGGACTAGGGCTGGGAAAATAGAGCCGGCATGAGGTCTGAGGGGTTAGAAGAAGCAAGGGAAGGAGGTAAGGAAGGAAGGGAACCTCTTCCCTAACCTACTGTACCTCCTGGTGCTCCCTGACTGCACTGGAAGGTGTCCTGGGGACTGAGACAGCCACTTCCACTCCTGCGGATTCCTTGGCCCTGTGCAGGGAGACCCACGGCATGAATAGTCCTGTTGCCACTCTGATCTAGCTGGAACATATGGTAAGTCTTCACTACAGATTTAATTCAGGCGATCAACACTTGGCTTAGCCTAGTCTGGGGGTAAGTTGCCACTCTGCAAAGCCATACCCAAGTTACTGCGTTCACCAGTGTGTATTGTTCACCAGTAAGTGCTGCGTTCACCAGTGTGTATTGCTGGGACACCTCTCATGCTTCTTTGTCTTGCAGTAAATTGAGCTGCTCTATGATTCTTTCCCATTGAATTGTGGAAGAACTGGTCTGTCCTGAGCACATAGGGAAATTGTGGGAAGGCTTTTGATTACTATCAGCACTCAGATGATTTATCCTGTACCTTCACTACAAAGTGGGCAGGTTTCCCAGTTCGAGTGAAAGGATCATATTGCCTATACCTGACGATAGACCAGCTAGGCTAGGTTAAAAGCACCATTGAACATGGGTGAGAGTATTGCATGTGTGGATGGGAGGGTGATTAGAGGAAACACCTGAGTAAGAGCCTGAGTTAACTTTGGCAGGAGGATCCTCCATCCATCACCATTCCACACTGCTTTTTGGTCAGCAGTTTCAAAACAGATAAAATGGGAAGTTGGCATACAGATTGGGGCAGCATCAGTATAGTTTAGCTTCCTTAAATGTATAATTCTGTACTGGAAAACGTTTAGTTTTATTGTAAGTTTAACCTTAACTCTGAATTTCCTGGTGGTAGTGGGGCAAGGTTTGTTTTGGAACTACAGCATTGTAAGGGTTTTACTCTTATTTATTAAAGAAAAGTTAAAACTGAGGGAACATAAAATACTTTTTTGGTTGAGGACTTATTTGGTTTTCTTACAAATGGTTTTAGTGTGGGAATGGGGAGAAGCTGGAGGAGCATTCCCCACTTCCTATGGGCTTCCTCCAGTCTGCTAGGGCAGAGCAGACCTTAGGAGGTACACAGAAACAGGGCTCTGACTGATTAAATACATTATAACCCTGATGAGTCTTCAGAAGCTCACTGGAGGACTCTCTACTCAGAAATTAGGAGGGTCATGGGGCCCTCATAAGGTCCACACACGTGAGTGTTCTTTTGTATGGACCTAAGGAGAGTCACAGTAAAGGGGAATGCTTCCTCCTCCACCTTTATGTCGTCCTCATAAGGTTCCCAGGAAGCCTTATGAAGTTTGTTGAGGGGACCTCGATGGCTCTCCAGAGGCTACTGGGGATCCAGCCCTTCAGTATGCTCTTCACTGGCCAAGTACTCCTTCCCTTCCTCTCTTCCCCTGACAAGCCTTAGGAACCTTGTTTATGTCTGATCAGATAAAATCAGATTGTCAGCACTCAACAAGACAAAACAGGATTCTCAATCTCCACACTCCCAACTAGGATTCCTCAGGGACTGGCAATGCTATTTAGGAACAATTACAAAATCACAGAAATGTAGATTTGGAAGAGACCTTGAGAGGTCTTGTAATCCAGTCCCCTATGCAGAGGCAGGACTAAGTAAAATTATACCATCCCTGACAGACGTTTGTCTAAGTTGTTCTTAAAAAGCTCCAATGAGGGGGATTCAACCACTTCGCTGGGAAGCCTATTCCAATGCTTAACTACCTATATAGTTAAATGAGATAAAAAAAATCCTACATCTCCTTTATTGCAGATTAAGCCCATTAAAACTTTTTATCCTACCTTCGGTGGACATGGAGAACAATTAATCACAATCCTCTTTATAACAGTCTTAACATATTTGAAGACTGTTGTTAGGTCTCCCCCTCAGTCTGCTTTTCTGAAGACTCAACATGCCCAGGGTTTTTTTTTAAAACTTTTCCTCATAGGTCAAGTTTTCTAAACATATCATCATGTGAGCTGCTCTCCTCTGGACTCTCTCTAATTAGTCCTAAACCGTGGTGCCCCAAACTAGACACAGTACTTCAGCTGAGGCCCACGAGTGCAATGTAGAAAGGAACAATTACCTCCCATGTCTTAAATATGACATTCCTGTTAATACACACCAGAATGATATTTGATACAGGTAATTTTCCCTCTGTTAAAATTCACCCCTTCTTGTCAACTGTTGAGAATAGGCCACTTCCACCTTAATTGAATTGGCCTCATTAGCACTGACCCTCCACTTTGTAAGGCAACTCCCATCTTTTCATGTGCTGTAATATATATACCCCTTACTGTATTTTTTGACTCCATGCATCTGATGAAGTGGGTTTTAGCCCACAGAAGCTTATGCCCAAATAAATCTTAGTCTAAAGTGTCACAAGGACTCCTTGTTGTTTTTGCTGATACAGACTAACACGGCTACTACTCTGAAACCTTACCTATGGAGTGGCATTAGTGCCTAACCACTGGGATAAGTTATTAAAGTAATAAACTACAGAATGCCTGCAAAATGAATTTTAAAAAGAGACAGATTACACTGTTATAAATCCCAAGCATATGTGAAGTGATGGACACCATACTATTCTTTTCAAAGCACACTTATCTTTTAGCCTATCAGTAATACTCATTTTCTTCAGTCAACTACTGTCAGCAACCAGTCATACTCTGTCAATGCAGCAGCAAGCACTGAAAAACAGCTTAATGTAGTATATTGCACTGTGTCTGGGATGAGGTAAGAACATCCCATTATCTTCAACCAGAAATTCATTTACAGAAATCCCTTTTTAGTCCTAGACAAACTATTTGGAGATAGTTTAACTCACCCTTCATGATCTCTTATAATAAAAACCCTGGCTTTGCATATTTTGAAAACGTGCACATTTCTACTCTTGCAAGCTGCAGACCACTCAATGCTGAGATATAATAATTATTTATTTATAGGGAATAGTATGGTGTTATCAGTTATGTGATGCCTCTCCAATATTTCTCATAAACAGATGCACATGCACTGGGAAAATATGCAGAAAAGAATTCGGATGTCTAATGACTATCTTTGTTTGGAAGCCACTTCTGTTTAATAATCAGAAAGTAATCATACCAGCATCCTTGCTTCCCTAATAAGCATGTCACATTACTTTTTTCTTTAAGATCAGAAAGTCAATTAAAGACAAAATTGAGGGATAAGATATAACAAATTTTCAATCAGATGCACCAGACACTTGAAATCAATTACTGGAAAGTGTTATAAATCATTGGATTGTTTGTATTAAAATCACTGACAAGCAACTGATTTTTAATCCACATATTTACAGTTAGTGTTTTTCTAATATAGGATATTGAATATCACATACTGTGGCCAGTTTGTAAGTTAGATCTTGCATCAAAAGGAATTTTGCTTAGTTATATTAAACAATTAAAGAAACGGGGGGGGGGTCTTCATAAGGGTCAGTTTCCCTTTTCATGGGAACATTTCTTGCGCTCAGAAATTTGGCCCAAAATGTTACGCTCCAAAAATGACTTACGGGGACAAATCTGATCACTTGTGCCACTACCTTGTTGACTTCAAGTGGTTAAGGGCACAAGTGATCAGATCTGCACCTGCATTTCAACTGTGTCTACAAGCTGTAGATCTTATTTATGTTGGCAAAACAGAAGAAAACAATTAGAAAAAATTAACACAAAGTCTATCATTACACCAAAGAAGGAAAAAATGGAGGAAAGAAAAACAGGAAAAAGAAACTTCAGAAATAAATACTTTGAAGCACTGAAATTGTATCTCTGTGATACTCTACACAGTACTTACCTAATATCTGTGCACGTTATACATGTGATATGCCGGCTGTTTGTTGTAATGAGGTTCAAAGCCACAGATGTTTCATTGTCAGAAGTTGGGTGTGCTCCACATTTAAAATAAAACTCCTGAAATATTGAAGGAGAGATAAAGAGAAGATTACATACCTGTAGCTCATGTCTTCTCTTTATCTTAGTCTAATTGACATTTGAGACAGCAGAAAGAAAATCACCACTGCCAGCACTAAAGGGGGGTATTCATTACAAATGATTTAGAATGAATTCCCTGCAAAAACTCCTTGCTAGGCACATATTTTGTTCTTTGCAAAAAAACCCTAATGAAGGCCATATCCCATACTGCATAGTTTCAATATTAGTAGTACACAGTATGATTTTCTGGATCCATAGAGAAAAAGTACCACATGAAACCACAGAGGTCCGGGCATTATGATGCATCATGCTACACACTGTAACATATTAATGCTTTTCCTCAAATTTTCATCACAAAAGTTACTGTCATATGAAAACTAAGGATAGAATTTATAATGCCTTGCTCTAAATAAGTGAAGACTGGTCTTATTTCTGTGACAATGGAAGCCTATATAGTATCGCATTACCAGTTTCAGAGTAACAGCCGTGTTAGTCTGTATTCGCAAAAAGAAAAGGAGTACTTGTGGCACCTTAGAGACTAACCAATTTATTTGAGCATGAGCTTTCGTGAGCTACAGCTCACTTCATCGGATGCATACTGTGGAAACTAACAAGAAGCTCCAGCTCCCTAACTAAGAACACATTTTACATTAACCACTGTATTTCAGTTAAGTTACTCTAGACTAGTTTTATTCTATACAGCTTCTTATCTCACCCTCATCAGCCCAGTATTGGAGTACCTTCCAGCAGTCCATTAAGCAACATGACTAACATCTGTTGTGTGAGTTGTTCCCTTTCATCCTCTCCTGAAAAGGAAGATTGTGGGTATAGTGTTGAATGCTGGTTTTTGGGGCTCATCCCTCGGGAGGTGGGGGGGACACAATGAGATCATCAGGGGTGTGGACGGTGGGCCATGGGGCTGCAGCCAGTGAGGTGGCCTGGCTAGGCAGGGCAGCTGCAGGGAGGGCACACAGGGAGTCTGCAGCAGTCAGGGAACGGGGAAACTGCCCTGTACACCCAGCCTGCCACAGTCCTTCATATTTTAAACCCACTGGACCCCGTGAGAATGAAAGTCTCTGGACAGTGGGGAGGGAAGGGGAAGGAGCCCTGGTCCACTACATGCTGCCATGGGCTCCTCATGAAATTGTGCCAGCCAGGTCCTGCCACCGTGCCAGGAGGGAGCCGTCCACATCGCTCATTGAGTCACTTTCTGCCCCAGATGGACAGGAATCACAAGGGAGCACTATGACTCCCATGGAGAAGCGGGGGGAGGCCACACAACTAAAAAAAAAATCTGGGAACCTTGAGTGTAGAGGGATCCATCACTGGCTGGTGTGCCCTCTCCTGGGTGGTCATGGCACAGCAGCCACCTTTAGTCCATTGCCCTCAGGGGGCAGTTCCTTGGGCCACTCAGTATTTGGTTCCTTCTTGCAACTCAGCCTTACTGAGCTTAGAGCCTCACTGCTTCTAGAGTAACCACAAAGTCCAACCAAACACCCAAAGGCTTAGTGCCCACATAGCAGGTCTTCACTCCTGATCTGGGCTTAACAGTCCTTGCCCCTTTCCTCCTGAGACTTACACTGCCCTTCCTGTGAGTGCCCGGTAGGGACCCCAGGCCTGTTCTCTGCTCCAGGCTCCTGCCCAGAGAACTTGTAATAAGCAGCAAGAGTCTGTTTTTCATGATCCCTCGCTGGTTCCCTGGCTGCTTCCTACCTTTACCTGCATGAAAGCGTCTATCCTGGAGCTGCGCCCTCCAGTCTTGTCTCTGTGCAACTTTTCTTAGCCTTTTGCTAAGGAGCTTTCTCAGAGTATCCCCAAGCTTCTCTGGCTGCTGCCTAGAGACACTTTGCCCCTGCTGCCGTCTCCTTTCAGGACCAGGGTACAAGCTCCCTACTACAGCTCTGCTTTCTCAGATCTCCTCCTGGGCCCTGCAGCCCTTCCTTTACCAGAACCACCCCCTCTGGTTCTCTACAGCTGGGTCTAATTGTCAATTAGCATCTCCCCTCCTGCTGCCACAGACTGGACTAATTGGGCCCTCAGGCTCCCTCTTAACCCTATATTTGCCAATGTCGAGAACATGTCCCTTCACAATAGTATAGTGCAGGGGTTGTCAAACTTCATCGCACCGTGACCCCCTTCTGACAACAAAATTACACGACCCCAGGAGGCGGGATCAAAACCTGAGCCTGCCTGATCCCCGCTGCCCCAAGTGGGGTGTGGGTGGAGGCGCAAAGCCAAAGCCGGACTGCCACCACCCTGGGCAGAGGGGGATGGGGGCAAAGCCCAAGTCCAAGCCCAAGGGCTTTAGCCCCAGGCAGGGGAGCCTGTAACCTGAGCCCCACCGCCCAGGGCTGAAGTCCTTGGGTTTTGGCTCTGGGCAGTGGAGCTGGGCTTTGGTCCCAACAAATCTAATGCCAGTCCTGGCAACCCTATTAAAACAGGGTGGCGACCCACTTTGGTGTCCCGACCCACAGTTTGAGAACCACTGGTGTAGTGTTTTGTTTTGATAGGGTTTGATTTCAGAGGTTTATTTTTTTTGGGGGGGGGGTGTTAAATTTACACACTGGCATGTGTTTATACTGACATATTGTCAACAGTTACTGGGGGCTAAATCATGGTCCCATAATGTTCCATAAGGTTGGAATTAGATCCGTAGGCCCCATTTTGGATGAGCTTTTGCCTTTCTGTCTTCCCGCCCCTTCTCTGGCCCCAATTCAGCAAGGTACTTAAGCACAAACTTAACTGTAAGCATGTGAATAGCCCAGTGGAACTAGTTGCATGTTCAGAGTTACGCTTGCGCTTACATATATTGCTGCACTGGGGCCTCAACTTATTTTAAACCTTGTTTCTTTTATATGTAGTTCAATCTTTGCAGTAATTCACTGATTTTTTAGTTTTAGTGAAACAATTTGGATTTTTTTATTTTAATTCAGTCCTGTGAGTTTCTACTTGCTTTACTACTTCACTTCCCCAGTACCATGGAGTATTGTGGTCACTCTATTTATAGAAGTAAAGGAATATTGACCGCCCAGTGTTCAAAGCAGGGAGATTAAGGGCATAGAAAATACAGAACAGAAAGAAAACTTTTGGTAAAAGTGATTCACCCACTAGTAATATACCTTGCATTTGTCCACAAGCAAAAAGAAATATTGAGCAATAAAAATGGCGAGCTCTAAAACACATGAAATGGCTTTAGACATAGAGTCTTGCGCTTTTTTTTTTTAAAGCATCCTTATTTCTCTGGCACAGAATTTAATACTATTTTTATCTCTGTTTGCTTTATTGCAAGCACTGCCAACAATCATAAACTATGCCCTCACAGACAAAAGTGTGCAAAATCTAGTATATAGGTTTAATGGCTTTACAAGTTCTTGATACTCCTCAGAGGTGGTGCTAGCCCACTGGGGGCCATAAACAGGAATATTTTGTGCCCCCCCTCCACACAACACATATTAATAATTAAAAGGAGGCCTGTAAGGGACCTCAGCCGGGGCTCCTCCCTCGGCGGGGTGGTGGGGCACCACACTACCTCACTACACTCTCGGCTGGGTGGGGGAATACCCAGTCTGTGGCCCAGACCCTCAGGCTAGGTTCCGCAAGCAGTTCGATATAAGCCCAGGCCCCGGGTCAGGGTGGGGCAGCAAAGAAACAGTCAGGTACTCAGGCCCTTAGGCAGGGGCTGAGCAAATAGTTCAACATAAACCCAGGCCCTGGCTTTAGCACCCAGGGGGAGGGGGAGACTGCCACCCACAAAGTGGGTGGCAGGGGGGACGCGGACCCACCCACTCCACTGTGTCCCAGCCCGGGGCCCTAGCAGTGGTCAAAGACCTGCTGCTGTGTCAGTGGCGATTCTGGCTGCAACACGCTGATGTTGGCTCTGGCAGTGCTGCAGCCATACTGGGGTCGGCTGCCCCCAGGCTACTTCCGGACTCCCCCTCCTAGGGTACCTGGGTCAGGGTGGTGTCCTCGGAGGGCTCCAGCACCATGGGCTCCTCTGGTTCACCAGTGTGGGGTAGGCTTGGCCGCTCCTCAGGGCAGCTGCCAAGGGGTAGACACAGCCGCTCCTTGGGGCGTCGATCAGCGTCAGGCCTCGGCCAGTCCAGCCAGTCCTCGGGTCGGCCGCGGCTTGCCGGGGTCTCCCAAGTCGGAGCCAGGCCAAGGACGTCTGGCCTCTCCAGCTGCTGTTGCCCAACTGAGCTCAAGGGTTGGACTTTTCTACTTCCTGTCCTGCGCCTTGACCTCTGAGGGGCGGGCACAGGATCCATTGGCTCCACCCACTTTGGTGTCTGGGGTTTCGTCCCTCGGCGGGATGGTAGGGCACCACACTGCCTCACTACACACACACCCTCAAGTCTGGCTCCCGTTCATCGGGGCCAGACCCTTCCAACTCTTCCACGTGGGACAAGAAATCTGCATTCGCGTGGTCCTTACCTGCCCTATGGCGGACAGTAAAAGCATAGGGCTGCAGTGCTAGGCACCAACGCGTTAGTATCATATTATTATTTTTCATTTTGGCCAACCACTGAAGTGCGGCATGGTCGTGACCAGTATGAACGGGGCCCCACAGAGGTAGTATCGCAACGCATCACAGGCCCATTTCACTGCCAGGGCCTCCTTCTCTATCACCGCATAGTTCCGCTCTCGTGGAAACAACTTCCGACTGAGGTATAAGGTTGAGTGTTCTTCTCCATCCACTTCCTGGGACAGAACAGCCCCAAGTCCTACCTGCGAGGTGTCCGTCTGGAGGATGAACTCTCGGTTAAGGTTGGGGCTGTATAGGACAGTCTCACAGCAGAGACTGTCTTTGAGTGCCTGGAAGGCGTCCGCGCACTCTGAGGTCCACACTATATGTCGGGGGCTGTCTTTGGTCAAAAACCCTGTTAAATGGGCTGTGATCGACACGAAGCCGGGAATAAACTGCCGGTAGTAGCCCACAAGTCCCAGGAACTGGCGCACTTAGCACTTTGTGGTGGGTGGTA